GCACGAGGGGGGGGTCCCCGTCCGGCTGCGCTCCCCTGCGATCTCCACTGCGCTGACGAGTCCTCCAGTCCAGCTGCAGTCCTGCCCCTCAGGCTGGTGGGACAATCCCCCCCCCGGACGCACCGGACCCCACCCCCCGCCCCAGCCCTGGGGGTAAACCCATTTCCGCGCCGCTGCGATCCCCCACAAGCCCGCGCGTGAAGACCCTGTCAGAGACGATCAGGTCTCCCGGCCCCGGACCTGTCCCAGAAACTGGGTTGTCTCCAGTCCGTGGAAGTGATCCAGCCTGCTTGTGCTGTGGAAACCCCCCCCCATGGGCTCAGTTTGCGCTCGATGACGGGCAAGAGCGGCTCTTACAAGCAGGGCGCAGCCTCCCTCTGCTGCCTTGTGGGGAGTAGAAAATGAGCTGTTGCACTTCAAGACACCCCCCTCCCCCTGTTCGAGCAGATCCAATCAAAACCCGAAGAAAATCCAGCCGAAAAAGCCAGAATCCAGCCTCGGGACCCAAACGGGCCTTGGAGTTCCCTCTCTCGACAGCACGTGTCCCGTGACGGAGCCTGGCATCCTCCCAGAGCCCGCCCTGAGCGAGCAGACCCCCCCCTCCTACTGAAGACAGATGGCTGCACGCGAGGCGCCTGCCCCGTGACACCCCCCCGGCTGCTGCCCGCGCTCGGAGAGCTGAATCGCTTAATGGTCCCGTTTCATAAATGTTATCGTAAATTATCTCCACATTACCTTAGTGGTATTATATCCCAATGCATCACTGTCTCTGGCTTTTGCGGACGGGGAAAAAAAAAAAAAAAGCAAAGAGTGGAGGGAGAGACGGATATCTCTGCTACAATGCTCGACTCTGACGGCCTCTGCCTCTCGCCCGCTGCCTGGCTTTCGCCAGCGGTACCGGACGCTGCCTCTTCTCACCTGAAGGCCAACTGCTGTGCCCCTGCTACCAGCGGGCAGAGAGCCAACCGGGTGGCTCATCCGACAAAACAGGGTCCCCCGATTCCTTGTGGGG